TTCGATTGTCCAGACTGGACTCCAACTTGTGATCCTGCTTAAGCCTTCCACTAGAGAGTGCTGAGATGACAGGCATGTGCCATCACACTAGACCCATGAGGACATTTCTGTCTGCCTTGGTAATGTTTGTTTGTTTGTTTGTTTGTTTGTTGTGCCCACAGGGAGACAGATTCTCCCTGTGCAGTTCAGGCTGGCCTTGAACTCACTTTGTAGCCCAGGCTGGCCTCGAACTTGTGGTGATCCTCCTGCCTTAGCCTCCTAAGTGCTGGAATTATAAGTATGTGCCACCATGCCCGGCTACTTGGTCACTGTTTTTGGGATTGAACTCAGGCCCTTGCACTTGCCAGGCAAGTGATGATTCTACTGAGCCATCTCCCCAGCCCTTGGTCACCGTTTTTATAACATGATCCAGGATGCAGGTCTAGAGCTAACCTACCTGGATTCAGAATCCCAGTTGTGGTGACTTTTTCTTCCTGCATGACTCCTGACAACCTTGGAGACCTCAACTCACTCAGCTGTGAAATGGCAGCGTATTGATGCCTCCCCCAGCCTGCACCCACCACCACCACTACTATGGTTGTAAGGAGTGAAGGAAATTTTTGAGGAGGTGTTACTGAGAATCAAACTCTGGACCTTGCACTTGCCAGGCAAGCGCTGCACCACTGAGCTATGTGTAGGGTCCCAAATTAAACAGAATTTAATCCACTAATCCTTCTTGGAAACTGCTGGAGGTAGTGACTGTACACTAGTACAGAGTGTGACCCAGAAATATGTGTTAAATGGGTGAAAGAACCCGGGGTAGTGGCTCATACCTGTCATCCCAGCATTTGGGAGGCTGAGGCAGGAGGATCACTTGGTTGGAGACCAGCCTGGGCTACACAGTGAGACCAGTCTGAGCTGCATAGTGAGACCCTGTCTTAAGAAACAAAACAAAACAAAACAAAGAAAAAAGGTGAAAGAATATACAGTGATTTGAGAGGCAAAACAATGCCTAGCATATTTCATTGAGGTACAATGCATGTTTTTTCCCCATTTGAACATTTCTGAAAATGGAGGGCCAGGGGGATGGCTCAGTGGAATAAGGGCTTCCCTGGCAAGCGCAAGGGCCTGAGTTCAATCTCCAGTTCCGCAAAAAA